CCCACAGTGAAGACAGACTTTGACAATGTTTTTTGTGTCTTTTCCCTTACTGTTAACCAACACCGGTAAGTCTAAAACCTATTTAAAGGCTAAAGCTTGATGAAAGTGAAAGTTGCTCAGTCATGTCTGGCTCTTTGCGACCCCATGGACTGCAGCCCACCAGGCTCCTCTGTCCATGGGATTCTCCAGGCAAGAATACTGGAGTGGGTTGCCATTTCCTTCTCCAGGGGATCTTCCCAAACCAGAGATCAAACCCAGATCTCCTGTATTGTGGGCAGACTCCTTACTGTCTCAGTGCCCAGGTGAAGCATGATGGCGGACAACAAATGTCTAAGAGAACAAGGTCAGCTTATTCCTCTGATAAACTTATTTCCTTTTATTCTTGGTATAATTGAGGAGAGGAAAAGACACTGAACAACCGTCCTCCTTGATGAGATACACCATTCAGTAATAAAACTAGTAACCCATGCGCATCACGTGTAGACTCTTAAGAGCTTTGTCATCCATGATCTCAAGTTACTTTTTCAGCACCCAGTGAAATGTGCCAAGGTTCAGGAATTAGCCTCATTCTCTCTCTCTCTCTCTCTCTCTCTCTCTCTCTCTTTTAGCATGAAGGAATTAAGGACAGAAACAGGCACAGACAAGACTGAAAGTCTGGATTTGGGGTTTATTGCTCTGTTTGCTTCCAAACAAAGTGGACAGTTGCAGGAGAGGTGCTGATCTGTTTTGTAATCTGCTCTCAGGACACTTGTGTGCCTCCTTGTTTGATCTCCTACCCTATGAGGGGGAATCAAGCTTTGATTTGGGCATTTCAATTCACTCCAACTTCCCAACAACCTTGACCATGGCGCCGGAAGAATGTGTTCAGCTCTCTGCACCTCGACCTGCGGAAGAAGGAGCTGACTGGAGTGGTTTACTTGAGTCAGGTAATTTAATGCCTTAGTTCAGTTCAGTCTCTCCATCCTGTCCAGCTGTTTGCGACCCCACGGACTGCAGTACACCAGGCTTCACTGTCCATCACCAACTCCCAGAGCTTGCTCAAATTCATGTACATCACATCGGTGATGCCATCCTACCATCTCATCCTCTGTCGTCCCCTTCTCCTCCTGCCCTCAATCTTTCCCAGAATCAGGGTCTTTTCCAAGGAGTCAGCTCTTCACATCAGGTGGCCAAAGTATTGGAGCTTCAGCTTCAGCATCAGTCCTTCCAGTGAATATTTAGGACTGATCTCCTTTAGGATGGACTGGTTGGATCTCCTTGCAGTCCAAGGGACTCTCAAGAGTCTTCTCCAGCACCACAGTTCAAAAGCATCAATTCTTCGGCGCTCAGCTTTCTTTATAGTCCAACTCTCACATCCATACATGACCACTGGAAAAACCACAGCTTTAACTAGACAGACCTTTGTTGGCAAAGTAATGTCTCTGCTTTTATAATACGCTGTCTAGGTTGGTCATAGCTTTTCTTCCAAGGAGCAAGCGTCTTCTAATTTTGTGGCTGCTGTCACCACCTGCAGTGGTTTTGGAACCCAAGAAAATAAAGTGTGCCACTGTTTCCATTGTCTCCCCATCTGTAGGCAATGAAGTGATGGGACCAGAGGCCATGATCTTAGTTTTCTGAATGTTGAGTTTTAAGCCAGCTTTTTCACTCTCCTCTTTCACTTTCATCAAGAAGCTCTTTAGTTCCTTTTCACTTTCTGCTAAAAGGGTGATGTCATCTGCATATCTGAGGTTATTGATATTTCTCTTGGCAATCTTGATTCCAGCTTCTGCCTCACCCAGCCCAGCATTTTGCATGATGCACTCTGCATATCAGTTGAATAAGTAAGGTGACAATATGCAGCCTTGACACAATCCTTTTTCAATTTGGAACCGGTCTATTTTTCCATGTCCAGTTCTAACTGTTGCTTCTTGACCTGCATACAGGCTTCTCAGGAGGCAGGTCAGGTGGTCTGGTATTCCCATCTCTTTCAGAATTTCCCACAGCTTGTTGTGATCCACAGTCAGAGTCTTTACTGTGGTCCATGAAGCAGAAGCAGGTGTTTTTCTGGAACTCTCTTGCTTTTTCTATGATCCAACAGATGTTGGCAATTTGATCTCTTGTTCCTCTCCCCTTTCTAAATTCAGCTTGAACATCTGGAAGTTCTCAATTCACATACTATTGAAGCCTGGCTTGGAGAGTTTGGAGCATTACTTTGCTAGTGTGTGAGATGAGTGCAGTTGTGTGGTAGTTTGAACATTCTTTGTCATTGCCTTTCTTTGGGATTGGAATGAAAACTGACCTTTTCCAGTCCTGTGGCCACTGCTGAGTTTTCCAACTTTGTTGGCATATTGAATGCAGCGCTTTAACAGCATCACCTTTTAGTACTTGAAATAGCTCAGCTGGAATTCCATCACCTCCACTAGCTTTGTTCATAGTGATGCTTCCAAAGGCCTACTTGACTTTACATTCCAAGATGTCTGGCTCTAGGTGAGTGATCACACCATTGTGGTTGTCTGGATCATTAAATCATTCAATTCTACAATAAAGTAAGACAAAGTGTCCTCAACTGGAAATAACTCCCAGCACGGGAGAAAATATTTATGGTATCTGATGAGGGATTAACATTTAACTATAATCAGTCCCAATGGAAATCAACCCCAAATACTCATTGGAAGGATTGATGCTGCAGTCAAAGCTCCAATACCTTGGCCACCTGATGCAAAGAGCCAATTCATTGGAAAAGACTCTGATGCTGGGAACAATTGAAGGCAGGAGGCGAAGTGGGTGACAGAGGTTGGATGGCATCATTGATTCAATGGACATGAACTTGAGAGATGGTGATTGGCAGGGAGGCCTGGTGTGCTGCAGTCCATGGGTCACAAAGAGTTGGACAGGACTTGGAGACTGAACAACAACAACATTAAAGAACTCCTACAATTCAGTAACAGAAATAAATCTAAGTTAAAAATAGGCAAAGGACTTGAATAGAAATTTCTCCAAAGATACACACGAAATTCATGGGACATAAAAATATGCTCACAATCATTTTTCTAACCACAGAAAAACTGCTTCTTGGAAGATTCCACATAACTGTGAATTTTCCCCTCCTACAGAGCACACGTCTCAATTTACTTGTCCACTGTGTTCCTTTTGGGTATAAACCGACATGGAATGCTAAATCACACGTAATTCCAGGTTTAGTTTCTAGGGGAACCACAGTATAGCTTTCCTCTTTACAATCTCACCTGCAGTGTGCAAGGGTTCCAATTTCTCCACATCCTCCCCAAAGTTTTTATTTTTTATGTTTTTGGATAATAGCCATTCTGGTGGGTGTGATGTGGTACCTCACTGTGGTTCTATTTATTTCTTTAGGGATTAGTGATAGTGAGCATATTTTTATGTGCTAGGGCTGTTTGCATATCTTTGGTGAAATGTTTCCTTAAGGCTTTTGCCTATTTTTAATTGGGTTGATTGTTATTAAGTTGTAGGAGCTCTTTATATACTCACATATCAGATATAGTACATACTTTCTCCCATTCTGTGAGGTGACTTTTCACTCTGCTGACTGTTTCCTTTGATGCACAAATGTTTTTAAATTTTGATGACTTAAGTTTTGAAGTCCAAATCATCTACTTTTTTCCCTTTGTTATGTGTACTTCTGGGATCATCTCCAATAGGTCATTGCTAAGTCCAAAGTCATGAAGCTTTTCTCGTTGCTTTTCTCCTAAGAACTTTATAATTGTTCTTGCACTGAGATTCCTGACCCACTGTGAGTTAATTTTTGCGTGTGGTGTAAGATGAAGGTCCAAATATTTTTTTTTTTCATATGGATAAAGGAATGGCAATCCATTCCAGTATTCTTGCCTGGAGAATCTCATGGACAGAGGAACCTGGTGGGCTACAGTCCGTGGGGTTGCAAAGAGGCAGACAGGACTGAGTGACTAACACATCTAGTTCCCCCAACACTGTTCGGTGAGAATACTTTCATTTCCTCATTGAGTGGTTTGACACTCTTGTTGCAAATCATTTGACCTTATACCTGAGGGCTTATTTCTGGGCTCTCTATTGGTCTGTATGTCTGCTATTTATTTATGCTATACTATTTATGCTTGTACAACACTGTTTTGATTTCTGTAGCTCTGTAGTAAGTTTTGAAATCAGGGCGTCTGAGACTTCCAACTTTGTAGCTCTTTTTCAAGATCATCTTGGCAGTTCAGCACCCCTTGAAATTCCACAGGAAATTTAAAAATAAATTTTTCTCATTCTGTAAAAAACTTTGGCTTTTGATAGGAATTTTCCTGAATCTGTAGATTGCTTTGGGTAGAATTGACATCTTAATAGTTTTCTAATCTATGAGAAAGGTGTATCTTTCCATTCATATCTTTAACTTCTTTCAGCAATGTTTTGTAGTTTTCAATGTACAAGTATTTTGTATGTTAGATTTATTCATAAGTACTTTATTTCACAGAGGTTACTGTAAATGGAATTTTTAGAAAAAAATTTCCTTTTTGATTATTTGTTGTTAGTGTATATAAATGCAACTGACCTTTGTGTGTTGATTTTATATTCTGCAACTTCACTGGATCCGTTTACTGATTATGACAGGTTTTTGTTTATTTTTTAATCCTGGACTCTTTGGTTTTTTAGCATGAGATCATGTCTAGAGCAAGTACATTCTTAGTGCTGCACACAGTCATACTCACGGAAGAGACTCTCCAGCATGCTGTCAAAGAAATCAAAGGGCACAAACTCCCTGCTGCGGGGGCCCTGCTCCTGGTGGGAGATGATTCACCGTCTCAGAGATCCTCTCTCCATACTGATCGCTAACAGGTCATTTTCAAGCAATTTTATCATTTAATATACAGGTTCAATTCGTTCACAGCTTGGATTTATGTGTTTGCTTTTTCTAACAACAGCAGCAAAAACAGATTCCTCCCCACCCATAAATGTGTCTTAAACCACTTTACATACTGAGCAGGCCTTCCTGGCCTGACTCCCCAGAGCCAGGGGCCACGGGGCGCATGTCCAGCCGCGCGAGCTCGCAGCCCCCTCTGCGCCGACCCAACTGGAGTTGTTCTCATCGACTCGTCTGCCCTCTCCTCTCCCCCTTGGCGATGACGATGAACTTTGTGTTCACAGCTCCCCTCGGAGACAGGGGCTGTTACATCAAAGGTCTGCAGTGTGCTGCCCTTCCTATAATATTTCAATTTAAACACTGCCTCGCTGCAGTGGTGTCACATCTCATTTACACTGTGGCCTTTGTGGGAGACAGGGATCATTACGGAGCGCACACTGAGAAAAAAACACATTACAGGCCGGCCAGGCAGCGGAAGGGCAGGAGACAGGCAGCAAGAGCAGCAGCCGGGGGCGGAGGGTCTCCCGGGACGCGGAGGGGCCCGCCCCTCCAAGTTGTCAGGCTGGAGTCAGACGAGGATGCCGCTGACACCTCTGGCTGCACCGCGTTGCCCAAAGATGCTGTTTCTTTACTTTTCTCTGGTTGTTGCAGTAAGGCAATCCCCCGGTGCTTCCGGGACTGAGATTATCCTCTTTTATCTAGATTTTTCCCTTTCGCCTTTCTTATTTTTAGTCTTTTGTATCAGCGCGGAATGGGCCTCAGTGTGTATTATGTGGACTCCTCTTTCCCGGGGCCCTGCCTCTAAATTGCATTCATCGGTGTGGACAGACCGTCGAGCAAGGAAACAGAAATAATCTTTTGTTTGTTTGTTTGATTTGCTCTCCAGCCCCGGCAATCCGCAGTCTAATAATTTCATTTTAAAAGAAACAGCTGTCAGGAAGGCTCGCTCCATTTACTATTAAAACAGGAAGAAGAAATATTGAATCCCTGGCAAAACAGGCCTGGTCTCCTACTTCCCCTTTTCTTCCACTCTCTCCTTCATTCCCCGTTCTTCCCTCCCGCCATCATTCCCATGAATAATTTATGCAGAAATGTCACCGGGACACACCGAGGCCCCCTAAGGAGAGCTGCAGAAACCTGTGCTGCAGGACCCAGGGCTGGCTTGCCTTCCAGTGGCAACAGCCGGCATCCGGACAGAGAAGCGGACGCCCCGGTATCTGGTGGGATGTGTGAATACAGAGGTTATTTCTGCAAAACAGTCAGTGGTGAGGGTGGGAGAAGTCATGTGACCTTGCCCTTCCTGGGGAGGCATTGCATCGTAATTTTCAGCCCATTTGCTGATCACATTTTCTCAGCTTTCCAAATACTGATGGCAATTCCCAGGCGCCCAAATGCTGTGGGTCGTGGCATTGGTGGCTCTGGGGATAAGGCCGGCCCAGTCCTGTGCCCAGGAGTGGGGCCCTCTCATGCAGATGAAGATGAACGTGCCAGGCCATCTGACGTCAAGGTTCTCATAGGCACCAGGAAGACCCTTCTCCCTGCTCACAATGAGTACATGATAAACACTTAGCTTTTTAAAAAATTTATTCTTTATAGATATAGTTGATCTACACTGTTGTCAATTACTGCTGTAGTGAAGTGACTCAGTTACACATTTATACATCCTTTTTAATATTCTTTTCCATTATGGGTTATGACAGGATACTGAATACGGTTCCCTGTGTTACACAGGAGGACCTCATTGGTTATCCATTCTATATATACTCATTTTCATCTGCTGACCCCAAACTCCCATTCCATTCCTCCCCCACCTACCCACTTGGGCACCACGAGCTTGTTCTCTATGTATGTGAGTCTGTTTCTATTTCATAGACAGGTTCATTGTGCCATGTTTTAGATTCCACATATAAAGGCTTCCCTGTGGCTCAGCTGGTAAAGAATCTGCCTGCAATGTGAGAGACCTGGGTTCCATCTCTGGGTTGGGAAGAGCCCCTGGAGAAGGGAACGGCTACCCACTCCAGTTTTCTGGCCTGGAGAATCCCATGGACTGGATAGTCCATGGGGTTGCAAAGAGTCAGACACGACTGAGTGACTTTCGCTTTCATGGCACATATATACAGTGGAATATTACTCAGCCACTGAAAAGAACCAAACCATGTTATCATACTAAGTGTATGTAAGTGTACTAAGTGTACTAAGTGATGTAAATCAGACAGAGAGAGACAGATACCATATAAGGCTGAGTTGTGTTGGATCACTTGTTTCCTTTAAAGAGAGCTCTGCATGGCTTGTTGAGGTTTGAATTGATGGCGCTGCTGGAGAAATCTATAAACACACACTGTTCTGTAGTACATGCATGCCGGGCTCTGTCCACACGTGTGTGCCCACCCCCCCACCAGAGAGACCAGGCACCAACACCATCCTCTGAGAAGAAGGGGATTTGGGTTTCAGTTAAAACTTTTAAGACACTGGTGCATTTGATGTGCAGAACACATACCAGGATATTTCAGTTTTAGGGAACTTGAAGTCTCTTTAGCAAAAGCACCCCTCGGTGTGTCTTTGTCCCCGTCTCAGGCGGGGGCCACAGAGTGCCTCCACACCATCTCTCCCTGTGGGTCTGTGTTCAAATGCCTCATTTTGGTAAGAGTAGCAGTCATCTTGGAGAAGGAAATGGCAACCCGCTCCAGTGCTCTTGCCTGCAGAATCCCTTGGACAGAGGAGCCTGGTGGGCTACAGTCCATGGGGTCACAGAGTCGGACACGACTCACACACACACACACTCACACGTCCACTTGGATGAGGGCTGGCTCGGCTCTGCTGTGACCTCGCCTCCTAGTTCCGTCTGCAATCGGCCTCTTTTCAAGCAAGGTGACATTCTGAGGTCCTGGGCTGAGAGCTTCGCATATGCATCTTGGGGAAGGGCGATGGGGAGAAGGGAGGGAAGCACTGTTGGCCCGTAGCTGAGTCTGGATGAGGACGCACCACAGCGAGGAGGACGGCGTGGAGGGGCGAGGCAGCCCCCTGGAAGCGCAGCGCAGGGCCCCGTACCTGCCCTGGGAGGCGTGGCCGGTACGGGTTGGGGGCTCCGAGGGGCCGGAGGCCACCCCTGCCTCTGTTACCTGAGCCAGGGTGGGAGGATGACACCACCCTTTCGCCCACCGCACACGTGCCCAGCGCCCACGTAGCGGGTGAAGGCGGCCTGGAGGCGCGGAAGGCGGGCCAGGACCAGGGAGGAGGGAGACGCGTGCGCCCTGGCTCAGGCCGCAGCGGCCTCGGTGCCCGCTGGCTCAGGACCTGCCCCTTTGGCAACCTCGCGCTGGCGTCTGGTGGAGCCTGGACTGCAGGGAAGACGCGAGGGAGTGGGCCCCGGACCGCAGCGCGAGAGGCGCCCCGCGGGCAGGGCGGGCTTCCAGGGCCCCACCCGGGGCGCGCGGCCCAGGCCGGCTCCGCCCTGATAGCCGAGCCTGGGAGCGCGGTGGGCGGACGGCCATGGCGCCGGCCCGCGCCCGCCCTACCCCGCAGGCCCCGGGGAGAAGCAACCGGAAGTCTCGGTGCCCACGTTCCCTGCGGCTCCAAACGTCCGCTCCCTCTGAAGCCAAGCTGCGCGCGCCTCCGGCTCGCAGCAAGGGTTCTCTATCTCCTGGCCCTCCTCTTCACGCCCCGCTCCCCACCAGAATGAAGTGGTTTCACGGGAAGGTGAAAGGAAGTGAAGTCAAAGTCGCTCCGTCGCGTCCACTCTGCGACCCCATGGACTGTGCAGTCCATGGAACTCTCCAGGCCAGAATTTTGGAGTGGGCAGCCTTTCCCTTCTTCAGGGGATCGTCCCAACCCAGGGATCAAACCGAAGTCTCCCGCACTGTGGGCGGATCCTTTACCAGCTGAGGCACAAGAGAGACCCAAGAACACTGGAGTGGGTAGCCTCTCCCTTCTCCAGGGGATCTTCCCAACCCAGGAATAGAACCCAGGTCTCCCTCATTGCCAAAGGATTCTTTACCAGCTGAGCCACCACGGAAGCCCTTATTCTCAGGAAGACGCTTCATTTCTGACTCTGCAAGGGCGCTCCACCGACAGTCTTCAGGGCCTGTTCTTATTTCAGCTGTTTGAACAGTGACCCATAAGAGGTGAGCTGCCACAGAGAAGTTAAAGGTTTTAGAAAATTTTGGGAAAAGTGGGGATTCTGTACGTGCTGCTGTACATGACTTGTTTACACTTAGTGAAGTGAGTGAGGGGCTTCCCTCATAGCGCGGCTGGTAAATTTTTAAATTTACTTATTTTTAATTGAAGGATCATTGTTTTACAGTAGTGCGCTGGATCCTGCCACACAGCATCATGAATCAGCCACAGGCACACGTATGTCCCCTCCGTCTTGAGCCTCCCTCCCACCCCCTCCTCACCCCACCCCTGTAGCTTGTTACGGAGCCTAGGTCTGGGTTCCCTGCGTCATACGGCAAATTCCCACTGGCTGTCTATTGTACGTGTGGTTACACTTGGCTGCATTCTTTGTGCAGAAGCGCCCTCCGCGTGGCGCCCCCGAAGCAGACCTTGGGGTGGGCCCAGTGTGAGCTACCTCCCTGCGTTTGGACATGGCCACAGGAAACCAGAGGACAGGGTAAGAGAGCAGGAAGGTTCCAGAAGGGGGAGAGCAAGGCAGGGCCCCCAGGCCGGCCATGTTTGGAGCCAGTCGAGAGCACCCAGGTAGGAAGGGTAGGAGGGGCCGGGACCGCTGGGCACATGGAGACCTTGCTTCTCCTCGGCGACTAGGGGGAGAGGGGGCATGGGGGAAGGGCAGGGGACTCGGGCTGAGAATGGACGACGGGGACAAAGAGTGACCCAGCTGGGGGAGAGCCCCAGCCCGGGGGTGGGGGGGGCGGGGGCGCAGGGGAGAGGGCAGAGGTGGCCGTGGCCCTGGTGGGACGGCCCCAAGGCTCCAGACAGGCGTTGGCCCTGAGGGGCCCTCAGGGTGGGTCCACTCTGAGCAGCATCTGCAGAAATGTTCAAGACGGGACTCCTGGGGGACGACTTCCTTCCAGGACACTGCATCACTTGCTTCTTGGCAGAGAGGCCAAAGTGAATGCTCTACAAAATGGATTCATCACAGGGTAGAAACCACATTGCCTTTATTAGTGAAAACAAATAAAGCGCATGGAAAATGCTGGCCTGGGTTTATATCAGCTAAATGAAAGCACCGTCTGAATATTTTAAAGCCCTCCTTTTCTTTTTGTTAAAAATCCACCGTTGTCAAGAATGCAGACCCCATGAATCACCTTTTTTAAAAGGGAGGGGGGTTAAAGTTCTCATGTAGCCTGCGTCATGAGCCAACAGCTCTTAAATCATCCTGTGCTCTTGATGAAGTTCTAAGACCTTGGCATGAGAATCACACACAAATCCCCGCACGTGAACTGTTTAGACTTCCACTTTTAATTATTCATGAAATGTGCAGAAACACGGTCCAGTGCACATTTGAGCAGAGTTCGCTAATGCCCATGAACAAATCATAAACACCTCACCAGGGGGCCGGGGCGCAAGCTCCCCTCGAAGAGGTGCCTTATTAGGAGCTGCTGCCACCGCACCGACAGTCAGCTCGCCATGACGGGTCCCCAGCTCCCAGACCTGGGAGGCTTGTCTGTGATGTCTCCGCTCTCATGACCCAAAGGGAACTGCGTTCAGCAGACTTCTCAGATT